CTCACCACCACTCATCCATCACCTTTTCTCATTTCTCCCCTCTCCACTTTTCTCATTTCTTTCCTCTTCTCCCCACTAATCTCTCATCCCCTTCACTCTTTCTCCATCCACAACCATATTTTTACTCTCTCCTCTCCCAACCTCACTCTCCTTGCTTCTTTTCCCTACTTCTCTCCTCTCCTTACCATTAATCTCTCATACCCCTCCCTCGTCACTCATCTCCCACCATCTTTTTCTCTCCTCTCTCTCCACTCACCTTCTTTTACTAATCTCTCCCTCTTTTCTTTACCTTTTCCATARCTTTCTCTCTCATTCTCTCACCCTCCTCTCCTCCTTTCTTCCCCCAACTACAACCCCATCATCCCCCTCACCTACCACTTCAATCTTTTCTCTTTCCCACCTATTTTTCTTTTTTTTCATCACTTTTTCATCCCCCCCCCCCCCCCCCCAACTTCGATTTTTTCTGTTTTTCTTCTTTTCTCTTTCTCTTTGATTTCAATCTTCTCTTTTGCCCAAAAATTCGAATTATTTTATTCCCTACTTCTTTTCTCATCTTTCTGATTTATTTTATTTTCCTTTATTTATTTTGAAAATTCGAATTTTTCTGCGGCACGCTAAAATCTGATTAGGACTTGCTTTCGGCACACATTTTGACCCCGTGGGGGTAACGAAGTGCAGCCGAAATTTTCTGTTTTCTTCATACTTAGTCTTTTTTCAGCACATTTTGACCCCTTGGGGGTAGTGAAGTGCTGGCAAAATCTTCTTATTTTTCTTTGTCTTTCTTCTTCACGGCACACTTCGACCCCATAGGGGTAACGAAAGGCTGTCGAAATTTTTAAAAATCCAAAACTTAGTTTCTCTTCATTCTCCTCCACCTCCTTATTTATTTATTTATTTATTTATTTATTACTTATTTTTTTGAAAATTTTAATTTGCAGCATTGTAAAAATTAGTGTGCTTCTCCTAGTCTCTCCTTTCTCTTTGCACATTTTGACCCTGTTGGGGTAAGCAAATGCTGCCGAGATTTTCAAAAAAATAAATAAGTTCTCTTTCCTTGCTCTTTACATTTGATTTCTTTATTTATTTTTCTTTCTTTTTTTATTTTATTTTTATCTCGAAATTTTATTGTTTATTTTATTTTCTCTCCCCCTCCCCTCCATATTATCTTTTATCTTGATTAGGTCGCCGCTACCCTCCTCTAACCACCTAAACTCCGGTTAGGGTTTTCTTAGGGTTTTCTAGGGTTTAGGGTTCTCCTAACTCCCCCCCCCCCTCCTACTCTCCCGCCTCCTCCCGTCAGGCACCCTGGACCCGGACGAATCCTCCCCCCTCGAGCGGTTCGGCGTCTTCGTCTCACGCGCGACCCGCAAAATCCGAGGCGAGCCGACTCACACATACTCACTCCGCTCCCGCGGTCCCCTTCCTCTTATCGGTGGGCCCCTTTCCCCACACACTCCTCTGAGGACTACCTCCATTCCCCTTCCGGCCATGGAAGGGAGTTCATCGGAGGAGATCGCCGTGGTGCAGTCCACACCCCAGGTCAGCGCGCCGTCAGCGGCTCATGATCAGGCCCATGCGGACACCATGGACCTTCATGCCGTCCTTGTAGCAATCCAGGCACAACTTAGTACGCTTGGACCATTGCAAGCGCAAATCAATGCGCTTGCCCTGGACGTCAACCGCCGCAAGGGCTCCCCTTATCGCTCTCCCCACCGCTCCCACACCCCATCCCCTACCGACTCCGAATCCGGCTCCCCACGACTCCAGAGACGGAGACATCGTGGTTCCCCCTCCTCTGCGGGCCAGGCCCAACCCTCCCCCTCAGCAGTGGCGAGTGCTGCTGCCGCTCAGACCACCCCGTCTGTTGCGGCAGTTCTCCCGGCCCCGACCGCCCTTACCGTCTCTACTGCTGCCGCAAGTGCTGCGGTCCAAATACCACCATCTGGCCCCGCAGTTTTATCGAGCCACCCTGGTGTTGCCTCCCAGCTTCCCACACCGGTCGCGACAATACGACTTCGCCGTCTTCTCCCCACCTTCGTCCCCCTACCCCCACAACAGGGTACCGCCCAGGCTGGGATTCCTCCTCCTACTAGGAGACCCGCTCCGGCTCCTCCACCTCCGACTCCGCGCACTCAGCGAGTGGCCACTTTACAGGCCACCATTGCGCAGGCTCAGGCGGAGATCCTCGCTGTGAGACAGCCTCACCCATCACAGGCTGCCCACCCTTCCTCCTCTACCACCCCTTCGGTCCCCATGATGCAGGCTCGTTTCCCTCGACCTGCTCCTCAGCCTCTTCCCTCCTACCTGGCTATTCCGGGACAGCTGCCCGCGGCCGTTGCCTCCTCGTCTGCTGGTCCATCCGCCAGCGGCCACGGCCAACAGCCTTCCCCCACCTCTGCCCCTGCAGCGGCCTCGACTTACGCCGCCATAGTGCACTCGCCTCGATCTCTCTCCCCCCGCCATCAGCACAGTGGACATCCTCTTGTGCGCACCACGGACATTCCCGAGTATGATAGCACATCCCGTGTCTCTCGCTGGTTGCAGCTAGCAACGCGCACGCTCTCTATGACGACCACCCGTCAGGAGTTGTGGTGCGATGTGCTCGCAACCAAATTGCGAGGTAGGCCTTCCACTGCGTGGGAGGATCATTATACCCAGCGTCTCCGCGTGGGTGAGGTCCCCACTCTGGCCGACTTCGCGACCTTCCTTCAGGACCGCTTCGACGCTCATCATGACGCCACCGACGCCTTAGACCGCGTCACCCAGACCAGATGGTCCGGGTCCTCTGTACCGGCCGACCTGGAGCGTCACATTCGGGTGTTTCAGGACGCTCGCCTTGTCTGTGACGAGACGTTCCTACCGGAGGTCACACTTACCTACCGGTTCCTCGTCAGCTTGCCAACTGACTACCGCTTAGAACTATGGAGGCGATCATTCTCTTTTGCGGAGCACGCATACGAGGCTGCGCGTCAGTACCCGAGGATGTGCAGTCGCTTCTCCGCCGCCCCATCCTCTTCGCGGTCAGCCGCCACCTCCCAGTCTCACAGTACCACCAAAGGCTGCTCCTCGTTTGCTGGTCGTTTTCGTCGCCCGGCTCGACTTGCAGCGCCATTCTCTCGACAGTACAGGTCTCTTGAGTATGGAGAGGACGCCTCAGTGAGCTCGACCCTACCATTGGGGACGCCCCCAAGGACATCGAGCTTCCGGACGTCATCCAGTACCACTTTGATGACGACACTGTCCCGGTGGCCGAGCGCCTGCAGATGGCCATGTCTGCCATGGGTTGTGCACGCAGTCGGGTTGCACACGCTGGCCCCCGCACACCCACGGTTCCTCAGATAGACCTCCCGCAGGGTTTTGTCCCTCCTCGCGGAGCTCTATCCCCTGAGGAGCGTGCAACCCTCGAGGCCTGTCGCGACTACCTTCGTTGCCGCCTGGATGGACACACCTCCTCACGGTGTCCATACCATACCGCCCTCGATCGGCACTATGCTGACATCTCCCGTCAGCGTCGATCTCATTCCCCCCCCGGCCCCGCCCGGCCAGCCCCACCCACCTAGCCATGGTGCAGTGTGCCACTAAGGCCTCGCACGTAGCCGACTTCCCGATCACCGAGTCGCGGTTTGCCCCTTTGGCTACCCCACCAGAGGATCCTCAGGATACGATAGCCACAGTTCCCTCAGCCCCGTCGTCTGTCGGGGTACTGTCTGCCTCACAACAGATCACCGCATTTAGCGCTTCCCTCCCGAGACTTCCGACGCGTTGCGCCATTCGCTCAGTCCGTTGTAGCGCTTAGCTGGCGACTCACGATGACGTTGTGTCATCTCGCGTCGTCTTCTCGCTCTGCTTTCTGACCCTGATTGCACCCTACCCATTATCCCTATTCGCCTAGGGACATCTACGAGGGTGTACCGCGCTTTGTGGGACTCTGGCTCGCAGGGAGATTTCGTTCACCCTCGAGTGGTTGAGGAAGCTCGCCTAGCTCCCTCTGGGTCCCGCTCTCCTATGTCCGTTACCCTCGGAGATAACAAGACACAACGCTTCTTCGATCAGACGGTCCCCGACCTTCACTTCTCCCTCACCCTCCAGCCACCGGATAGTACCCAGGCGCATCAGCGCTACCATTCCTCCACATACTTCGACGTGCTGGAGACTGGGTACGACTTTATCCTTGGCACTCCCTGGTCTCGCCGGTTCCGTAGCACAGAGGCCGAATGGGCGACCGAGACACTCGTTCTCAAAACGAAGTGTGGTCAGACCCATCGCGTCCCCTTCATTGGAACCACATACGACACTCCTCCCGACCTACCTCCCCGGGACCCTCGTCCCTCAGGGTCTCACCCCAACATTGCCTTCACTTCCCCTCGTCAGTTTGATCACTTCATACGACAGGAGGACGTCACGTTCTACTCAGTGAACGTCATGGATCTTCTTCGCTATGATCCACTTTGTCCCGAGGTTGAGCTCATCTCTCTGGAGCCCGATCCCCCTTACCCTTCCTCCATCTTAGCGGCTCCCATCTCTACGTAATTTTGTGACATCCAGCGTCATCAAAGTGACCTCACATTATTCATGCAGTGCTTACTTCTTATCTTATCTTTCATTCTTATCTTATCCTACTCGCCGTCGACTGTCGAGACCACACATACGTCTCGTGCCGACGCAGACGCTGAGGAACTCACACGGTTCACGACAGACTTAGAGCCCGCCATTCGCGACCTGATTCGAGAGTACCGCGACGTCTTCCCCCCGTATTTCTCATACAGCGGGATTCCCCCGATGCGCGGTGTTGAGCATTCTATCCAGCTCGTGCCTGACTATCGTGTTCACCATCAGGCACCGTACCGACTCTCGATTCCAGAGGCGACGAAACTCAAGCGTCAGCTTGAGGAGCTCCTTCGACTGGGTTTTATTAAACCGAGTAACTCCCCTTAGGGTGCACCTGTCCTCTTTGCTCGCAAAGCGGACGGAACTCTCCGCCTCTGCATCGACTATCGTGACCTTAACAGTTACACGGTTAAGGCTAGCTATCCCATGCCCCGCCCGGATGAGCTGTTTGACCGTTTGCCAGGCAACCGCTTCTTCACGAAGATCGATCTTCGTAGCGGTTACCACCAGATCTGCGTTGCCGCAGAGGACCAGCCGAAGACCGCCTTCCGGTCGCGCTTCGGCCATTACGAGTTCACGGTGATGCCATTCGGCCTCACCAATGCACCCGCCACCTTCCAGACGGCGATGAACGATATCTTCAGGGACATCCTTGAGGAATACGTTCTCGTATACCTGGACGACATCTTGGTCTACAGGCGTACCTTAGAATACCATATCAGACACCTCCGCGATGTCCTACAACGCTTACACAAGCATGGCTTCTATGCCAAGCTCAGTAAGTGCCGCTTTGCCCAGCGCAAAGTGGACTTCCTAGGACACCATGTGTCTGACCAGGGTCTCCACATGGACGACGCGAAGATCACTGCTATTGCAGAGTGGCCCGTCCCCACATCTGCCAAGGAGCTTCGCAATTTCCTAGGCCTCACCAACTACTATAGTAATTTCATCCAGGGATACGCTAGGTATTCCTACGTCCTTACGTCCACCCTCCTCCGGAAGAACCCGCCGTGGTTTTGGACACCCCTCTGCGAGGACGCCTTCCTCGCCCTCAAGAAGGCGGTGACTTGTGCGCCGGTTCTTCATCTCCCTGATTTTGATCGCCCCTTCATCGTCACCACCGATGCGTCAGATTTTGCAGTAGGAGCAGTACTTTCCCATGTGTTTCCCTCTCCTCTTGATTCACCTTATCAACATGTTTCTCCCTTCCCCCCCCCCTCCTGCTGACACTGCTTCTCGACTGACGCCTATCCTACCACCACTTCCCTCCACTGACAGTCGTCCCATTACTTACTCCCCGACCATCGCGGAGGATGGGACTGTCAAGGCTCGTGCTGGGGATTGCCTGGTCGCCTTCTACTCCCGTCAGCTACTGCCTGCCGAGATAAACTACACTGCCGATGAACGTGAGGTTCTCGCAGTAGTTTATACTACCCGGCATTGGCGTCATTATCTGCACGGGACGCCCTTCACGGTGCGCACGGACAACTCAGTTGTCCAGGCTTTCCTCACGAAGCCCAAGCTCTCCCCTCGACAGGCACGTAGGTGGCGTGACTTATCCGAGTTCAGTTTCACCACTCAGCCCATCAAGGGTGAAACGAACCGCGTCGCCGATGCCTTGTCCCGCCGTCCTGATCACAATCAGGAACCCATCCATCTTGCTGCCATCTCCATCACCACTGTTGATCAGTCGGTGATCGACGCATATCGCACCCAGTACCGTCACTGCCCGGATTATCGCGTCATCCACTCGACCCTGCGGAGTGGTAAGACCGTTCCCTCATACTCCCTCGGTGAGAACGGTCTCGTGTACTGGCATGGCAGATCTGGTCAGCTAGAACCACGTATCTGCKTTCCCTCCACCGGACATCTCCGCGTCTAGGCTGTAGCAGAGTTCCATGACCAGGCAACTGTCGGTCATATGGGCTTCCACAAGACGTTGGCTCGTGTTTGCCGCCTATACGTCTGGCCGAAGTCCAAGGACTTCGTCAAAGCCTACATCCAGGAGTGTCCTAC